GCTTGAACTCACAATCCGTGAGATCATGACCTGAGCCGAAGTCGGACACTCAACTGACTGAGCCACCCAGGTGCCCCTATAAGATTTACTTTAAAACAAGATCATTTATGCCTTCTTGTCGTATGTCTTACCTATTTCAGCTAAATGTGTATTTCTTAAATTCAGTTGTTATTTTTGATTATGCATTGGATTTTAAATGTTTTACTTTTTATCATCTTTTCCTAAATCTGCAAACTAATCAAACTCTCATTCAGTGCTTTTGAGATCTTAATTTTTATATTACCTGTACTTTTTGTTTCCCAGATAAAAATCTATATAAAGCCTTCCATTTCAATATACAACCAGTATTAAACCCCTGAAGATTGGTAGTTGACTACTTATAAAGTGTCCTAACCTTAAGTGAACTTAAGTACGAAGTTCACTTTTTTGGTTTAGGCTTTTTATAGCTTAGCTGTTTGTTTACCTCACTGACTTAGATGCTCATTCTCATCTCATGGAATTGATTGTGTTTTTACTTTAGGTACTTGCTACAACCAAGAGACAATGGAAACAAGTCATCTAAAACTGATGATCTGGGGTCTCTTAGATTAAATATATGTTATACAGAAGACTACGTACTTCCTTCAGAGTACTATGGTCCTTTGAAAACTTTGCTGCTAAAGTCACCAGATGTTCAGGTACTTTAAAAATCTTAAGTGTATAATTTAATATGAAAAGGCTAAAGTAATTCTGTAAGTAATTAGGAAAAGATTTCACAGTATCAAGTTTTATTAAAATAGTCAGTATATACATTTATCTGAACCACAGTACTGTGATTCCAGTAAGTGCTTAAAATTTCATCTCTGAGAAAAGTTTAAAAAATTAAATATTCTATGCAACAGTAATAGTCAATGAATATGCTTGAGTTGCTTTTACAGGCTAGTGATTGAACATTTAGTCATATTTCCTTGATTTTGTGCTTGTTTTCTGCCTTTCTATATTCTAGCCGATATCTGCCTCAGCTGCTTACATTTTGGGTGAAATTTGTCGAGATAAAAATGACGCTGTTTTGCCCCTTGTCCGACTGCTGCTGCATCACGATAAACTTGTTCCTTTTGCCACTGCAGTGGCTGAATTAGACTTGAAGGATACACAGTAAGAGTTATATTCAAATGTTAATTATGTTTGTTAAAATTGGATCCGAGTTTGCCAAATTGTTTTTGTAATTTGAGTTCTTTTGTATTGACCACCCTCACTGGATAGGAGTCTGAAAGGAACTGCTTAGCAAGAAATAAAAGGCAGTTCAAGTTAGCAAATGGAATCCACCAACAGCAACATTGACAGTTAATGAAGGATTTTTTTTTTTATTCAGTACTGAAATTTCCTGTTACTAATCTTTGCTGCTGCCTGTAATGATTCACATGTCACAAATAAAATTCCAGGGTTATTTTTTCCCTTCACCCGTTATGTATCGCCCTTATATACACAGGTATGACATTATGAAAAGCAGTCAGGTCACTTCCCCTTCCTGTCATAGTACTGTCTTACACACACACATACTCTACTTTTGTAGTTCATAAATATAGTTTGCCTTTTTTTTTTTTAACTTAATATTTTTGGTGAGTAGTTTGGGTAAGTTTGAAAATCCTAATGGCAACAAGCTTTTAAATGGATGATAAAAATTACTAAAATTGTATGTATAACCAGAGTCACATATCTCATATTATTGGTTTCCTAGCCTTTGTTTACTGCACTTGGTTTCACCTTATTTCTGTTTGTATTTCAGAGATGCGAATACAATTTTTAGAGGAAATTCCTTGGCTACCCGATGTCTGGATGAGATGATGAAAATAGTGGGAGGGCACTACCTGAAAGTAACATTAAAACCTATTCTAGATGAGGTACCGAATATACCTCTGATAATAATAGTCTGTGTGGCCTTATGAAATAGTGTCCCCTTCATGAAGTAACCTAGTGACAGGAATGATACACCCGTTCATGTATTACTGAAAGAATAAGGGTGAACACTTCAGAAGCAGGATAAATGATTTACCTTTCCATCAGTGGATTTTTACTTGAAGGGCACATTGAATATAATCTACATAATGGTTGTTGTTACTGGATTTCTGTTTTTAGCTAGTTTCAGATACATGAGAAATACGTTTTAACAGTTCTTTCGGAGTATTGTACACATTATCTCTGGATGGGGGTTATAAACATTGTTATAATTTTAACTTTTTACAATTGTATTATCAGAAAAAGAATAGTTCTTTTCACTCTGCAAAATTATTTGGAAAAGAGCAATTAAATGAAAAATTAATTGATTTTCCAGATATGTGAATCCTCAAAATCCTGTGAAATTGATCCTATTAAATTGAAAGAGGGAGATAATGTAGAAAACAATAAGGTAAGTCCTTGTTATCTTTATGACTACATTAAAATGGGCCTTCTCCCATATGTGATCTTCCATAATGCTCTCTGAAGGATGTAGTGCTTCTTATTCTTTACTTAATGCTCATACCATTAGCAGCATTTTCCATGTCTCGTTTTTAGAATATTGTTATTTCCTCATTAGGATTCACTTTATTTTTGTTCTTGATTATCTTCTCTTTGGCTCTGGGAACAGTAGTGGAGTAAGGCTGTATCCGGTTGCAGCCTCCATTCTAGCCATTCCTTTGGGGTCAGACTGATCAGGCTAAGTGGCACAATGACTTGGTCAATCAGCATTTTCGTTGTCTCTGGGAAAACAATGATGTGAGAGTCACAAGTTTTCTCTGCAGTAGATAAAATTGCCACAGTGTCCATGTGCCTGCATATCTGAGTTATTTCCCTGATTTCTCTTCAGATCATTTTATTCTCTGTTGCTTCTTGTGAAGTTTCTTCCATACATTCACCAGTTATATTTAGCTAGTCTCCATCTCATTTGTTAAATGAAGTCAGGATGTAAATTGTCCTTTAACTAAGTGAGTTTAGAGAAGGGAAGCAGAACTTTAGAATACTAGATAGTAGCTGCCAAATCTCATTTTCACTGCATTGTTTTCCGTAAAGGCTGTGGAAAATGTTTAAAGGTTAAAATCCTGATGTTTCCCTTGTTAAATCCTACAGGAGAATCTGCGCTACTATGTAGACAAGTTATTCAGTACGATTGTAAAATCAAGTATGAGCTGCCCCACTGTAATGTGTGATACCTTTTATTCCCTAAGGCAAATGGCTACTCAGCGATTTCCTAGTAAGTGCCTTGTTTTACTAAAACATGCCATTTCTTTTTCTGTATTGGATATTTTTGTGTAGATTTACTGTGGATTTGGCTTATGTACAATGTTTAAGGTTTATCGGTACAGTCTTTTCAAAATAAATACAGCTTTTTAATGAAACATCTACTTTAATTTCCTTACAGTCTCAAAACAAATTGTTTTATTTCAATATAATGACAACTTTATACAAAGAACAAATAAAAAATCACCATTATTTTTAAGAAAGGCAAACATTTAGAACTGTAACATAATAAACATTTATACTAGGTACTTACGAGATTGTTAAATGTAATAAACAAAAACACCTTTGTAATTTGTACCAGCTACTTTTGTCACTTGTGTGCATTTAAATAATGAGAATTTTTAGTTCAATACAACTGTGACTAGATTTGACAGTTTGCGAATGCTAAGGTTTTGGTGGTAGGACAATTTTACAGAAATGTCTGGAGACATTAGAAACATCTCTGTTGTAATAGACATAGAATTTTGAGATACATATGTTAATCAACACATGCTTTAATTTTGCAAAAGCGGCTATGTCAAGGCTTTGTTTAGAAACGTTGCTATCTCTGATTGTCAATATTTGGAGTTATTCTACTTTAATGCATGTCTGATAAGTAAATAACTTTGCTATAGCTGTTTTTCCAGATCTGCCTGTAATAGGGGGAGGGGAGAGGAGGTAAGGTAGCTACTTAAATTATTAGTCTTACCCAGCCGTGTGAGAGTATAAGCGTATTTCTGTAACCATCTGAAGAAATTTTGCTATTTTTACCATGTTCTTTTAAGTGTATGTGTATGTATGTGCACACACAGTGTATACAGTTATCTGTCCTTCCACTAAATTTACCCAGTGGTAAAGTTGTAGGACTGAATTGTCTAACTAACGTGCATAAATTCAGCCCTTGATGTCTTTGCTAATTCTACTAAAGACATAATCAACTTCAAGTAAGTATACTAAATCTAGTTTTTACAACACAAATAAGGGGAGCAGAGACATTAAACATATGGCAAGATGTCTCTGATGCCTACAGTCCTACTCTCATGCCTACACTACCATATGCATTGTCTCCTACTCTCATGCTCACAACCACCGTATGTGTGATCTCCTGTTCTCACACTCACACTCACTCATAGGTACTGCTCCCCTTAGGTGAGTAATGAACCTGAGGTTTAGAAAAGTTATGTAACTTGCCCAAGGTCCAAGACATGGCCAGCAGAAAGAAGGGTCTCCAACCTGAGTCTGGCTTATTCCAAAGAATACAAAGCATACAATTGTCATTGTACTCTACACCACCCACTGATCTTGGCCTTAAAGTATGTTTAATTATGATTACAGAAATGATCGAAAACACATTTTATGGCTTTTTATAAATGCAAATGTGTCTTCTATTCTTTTTGTTGGCTTAAATGTTCGTATGTTTTCATATTCTCAGTAGACTACAGTAGTGATAGTTTTGTTGTTAGGAAACATTTCATATTTTCCCATTTGTTCTTCTGTTACCTTAGGAAGGTGAGTGGAAAGTCAGGGAGGAAACAATGAGTGTACAGCAATTACTAAAGAAGCACAGGTTAAATGACTTGCCCATGATTACCTGTTGAGTGACTTACAAGAGTTAAACCAAATACAGACCTTCTCCCCCCTCACCACTTGCATCTGTCATCTCACTGTCAGGTTAAGTGTTGACTCCAGTCTGAAACAAAAGCTGTAGGTGAAATGACAAAAAACAAAAATGGTCTTCAGTTCATCTTCATTTTTATATGGAATATTGATACCTTTTTTAAAGGAAAGATTTTCACTTAGTTGTTTTTATTGCATCATCTTTGATGTTATCAAGACTTTTGAGGGAAAATTGAAACAATATCCTAGAACTGAAAATAATGTATCCTAGTCTTAAGGGTTTCAGTATAACCACTAGGTAGTGCTAGAGACCACTTTTATTGTTGCAATTTCAGGAGTCTCTTCTTGCAGATGAGCAAAGAGGTATTTTCCAAAGTAAAATATTTCTGAAGACCTGGTAGCTTTGCCTTTCATTTTATTAATTATTTTTTATTGTTCCTTTCAGATTTTTTTAGCCAGAGGTTTAATTTAGTCATAATCATTACTTTAATTTAGTCATAATCATTAGTACCATTTCATCAACTCAATCCCCACTAGACAAATTGTATTGATCTCCTATTTAGTTTATGTTTTTTTTCAATATTTTTTACTTTGTCATCTTTGTTTTTTAATTCAGTGTTTTTGTGCATGACATTTCACCATTTTTTTTCCTGCAGATGACCCTCATGTTCAGTATTCTGCAGTGAGCAGCTTTGTATTTCTTCGTTTCTTTGCTGTAGCCGTAGTATCACCTCATACTTTTCATTTGCGACCTCATCATCCAGTAAGTGTTGTTCTTCTCAAAGCTTTATTCCATTTTTATTTATTTTTATTTAAAAAAGAGAAAATAACAAGCCAGTTTCACTTGGCTTTCTTGTAACTGGTACTTAAATTTACTTGGCATTTTTCTTAGCCATTTCAGCCTTTCAGAGAAGGCTAAAAATTCTATTTTTTGTTATTAAAAAGATATTATACAAAAGTAATAAAATGCGGATAGTTGTTGAAGCTTGATGATAGTTGCAGAGAAGATCCATTATATTTACCATTATATTTGCTATTGTGTGTGTGTGTGTGTGTAAATTTCCATAGTAGTAGGGTTGGTTGTTTGTTTGTTTTCCATGAGTTACAGGTTTAATCTTAAAGGTATTTTTAAATCTCACAGAAATTTGAAGAGATTTATTTCTGAAAGGTGTAGAAACTTTGGAATATAATTTGTTTGGTATCTCCACATTTTTACTTTTTATCCACCTGATATTATAAATATATGAGATTTAAAACTTTAAAAACATTCTGAAATCCTATTTATTTATATCTGTGTACTGTGTAGATCTATGTGTTAACATTTTTAAACTCCTATTTTTGCTGTTTGTTTCTTTGTCATGCAGAATATTTTTGCTGATTGATTTTAACCCTTTATGTTCTAACTATTTTATAATCTTATCTAATTGCTTTCATTGCTAATTTGTGTAGCAAGTAAGAGTCATAGCCAACATTTACTTAGGGCTTTGTACTAGGCCTTCTTCTAAGTACTTTGTGTTTTAACTTACTTAGTCCTCCCTGTAAGGTCAATTCTGTTATCATCCCCATTGACAGATAAGAAAATTGCAATTGAGTAATTTCTCCATGGTCACACAGCTGATGAAATAAGATTTGATCTCACTCAATTTGAACTGAATTAGACTGGAATGCTGTCGTCTCCTTCAGTCTTCCCAGTCTTTGAGCTCACCCCTCTTCTTTCCTGCCGTAAGGGCACTTAAGGTGTTCTAACACCTATAATGTAGCACACACTGGTGCTCAACACTGATGATGTGGTGATGAGGAAGACACTCTCTGTCCTTAGAAAACTTCACTAATACAGGGTAGGGAAGGCACAGGGGTTTTAGAGTTAAACTGGGCTTTGAAGGCCACCCTTTGTGTTCACAGTTGCATGACATTGCCCACTCATTTAACTCTGAGAACTGAGTAGAACCTTGCTGCTGTTGCAGCAGCACACCCTTTCTTGCCAAAGGACAAACAGGCTGTGAGTAGCTGCAGCAGAGAGTGGGTCAGTGTCCTTTCATTCACAGGAGTGTCCTTTCTCCGGCCTTGTTACTAAAGCTGTGCAGAATTCTGGGCCACAAAAAGTTTAGCAGCAGCATTCTGGGTATAAACAGAACTCCTACCTCTGAGCTTGTGACCCTCCCTTGTATTCAGACTTGGATTTGCATATTTCTGTAACAGATGTTGCAATAAAGTCCTTCTAACCACAAACTTTGTATTTTAGGTCACTTTTCCAATGAGTGTGCTAGAAGGACTGGTTCATACTGTGTCATGTAACTTTATTTAGTTTGCTTTTAAAATTTTTTTTTTTCAACGTTTATTTATTTTTGGGACAGAGAGAGACAGAGCATGAACGGGGGAGGGGCAGAGAGAGAGGGAGACACAGAATCGGAAACAGGCTCCAGGCTCCGAGCCATCAGCCCAGAGCCTGACGCGGGGCTCGAACTCACGGACCGCGAGATCGTGACCTGGCTGAAGTCGGACGCTTAACCGACTGCGCCACCCAGGCGCCCCTATTTAGTTTGCTTTTAAATGTAAACTTATCCCTCTTCTTAAGAACTTTCGTTCTAATTAGGAGAATAGGGCAAATACATAAGGTATATAATCTAAACTAGTACTTAATTAGTACCAAGGTAAGTAGTTTAGACAATTCATACTACAGAAGTTGAGAGCAAGGAGTAATCCCAGGGACCTCAGGGTGATGGAATTGTCAAGACCAGTATTGAAAGTTACAGAGTGGTTGGGGAGGGGAACCAGTTAAAGGTTGTTGGATTTACATTTAGAAGTTCTTCGAATTTTGAGAAGCCAGTTTTAGTAGAGTACAAGAAAATCAGATTGCAGAAGATTAAAAAATAGGTAAGTGTAGTTTTTACACCTGTGGCTTAAAGATATACACAAATTTAAGCGTGTACGTTTGTATACATATACACGAATGAATACTCTTTTTTTTTCTTTTTTAAGAGAGTGTGAGTTGGGGCCGGGGGTGGGGAGAGAGAAAGAGAATCCCAAGCAGGCTCCACACTCAGCACAGAGCCTGATGCAGGGCTCAGTCCCATGACCCTAGGATCATGACCTGAGCCAAAATCAAGAGTCATACGCAACCAACTGAGCCACCCAGGCACCCCTGAATAATTTTTTTAAAACACTAATTTTTGGGGACACCTGGGTGGCTCGGTTGAGCATCTGACTCTTGATTTTGGCTCAGGTCATGATCTCACAGATTTGAATTCGAGTCCCACATCAGGCTCTGTTTTGATGGTACGGAGCCTGCTTGGAATTCTGTCTCTCTATGCCCCTCCTCAACTCTTCCTCTCTCTCTCTCTGTCTGTCTCTCTCTCTCTCTCAAAATAAATAAATAAACTTAAAAAAAAAAATTTGAACAGGGAAGTCTTGATGAAATTCAGTTCAAATTCAGTTTATTAGCCATTGTTAAGAATCTTATATTCTTCAAAGGCAGAAAATTTTAGGGATCTTTTATACATATAATGGAATCTTACATGTTCTAGCTGAAATATTTCTGAATAACTATAAGGTGTGTAACTGTTTCATAAATATATCATAATGATCATATCCCAGATGCTCCATTTTTTCCAGATTGCCTTTCATCTTTGTCGTCTCTTATCCTTCACATTCACTGTTATTTCCAGTGTGGGAATTCTAAAATATTGAGGAATGTAACCAAAAACATAGAGCATTTCTGTATGTAAATTTTGATGGAAGATACTTGTTTATTTGAATCTCCAAAATAAAGATATTCTCTATGTGATAAGGAAATTGATTATGCAGATACATGGTTTGGTGGAAACTCATTAGGTTATGTACATTTAAAATCTGGTCATTTCACTATATGTAAATTATACTCCAGTTAAAAAAAAAAGGAAGGAGACAAGGACTAATCAGGGAACTGTTTAATTAATTTTACTTATATTTACTTTTTTCTGGTAGACAGGCTAAAAAATAGCTTGGATAACAGATCCAAGTAGTTATCCTCTGCTAAGATCCTACATGAACCAGGTGACTTCTCATTTCCTAAGTTTAGTTAGGTCGTTGCTTCCAGGATGAAAATAATTGATTGTAGAAGCTATATCTTTGAGTAGGATTAGAAGGTGGGTGGAGTACAGAAAATTTGGAAACTGTCATTTTAAGTTCCAATGTAGAAAATGTAGACCTGCTTGACCTTTCAAGAGTGAGTACAATTTGTTAGGTAATCCAACCTGCCATGTTGTGCAAAGCAACATATATACTACTGGTGAGTTGTGCCCATCATAAGCTAGATTTTTACTACATTAGTGATTTGAATCAACATTTTTGAATCACTGTTTTAAAGCAACGTAGCCTATTCACTCTATTCTACCTTTTACACAAATTCTATTTCCTAAAAACTTAACAGTTTTGTGTCTCTTTTACATTCTTTAGGATGCACAGACAATTAGAACATTAACTCTCATCTCAAAAACCATTCAAACATTGGGAAGCTGGGGAAGTCTGTCCAAAAGCAAGGTAAGTCTTTACATCTTCTGCTTTGTGGTCACACTTCTGTTGTTGCTTTTTTTTTTTTTTTTTCAAGTTTGAGAGAGAGAGAGTGCAAGCACATGCATGAGCAGTTGGAGAGGCGGAGGGAGGGAGGGGGTGAGAGAGAGACAGACAGACAGACAGACACTCTTAAGCAGGCTCCACACCTGGGATCATGACCTGAGCTGAAATCAAGAATCAGACGCTTAACCGACTAAGCCACCCAGGCGCCCCTGTATTCACACTTCTAAATGTTATTATACCTTATCCCTCTCTCTCACTCATTCCCTTCCAAATTAAAATACGCATACACAGATGCAGTAGCTGTCTTTTAGATAGCTGTTGTGTCTTAGTCATCTGTTAAAGAAGTTTCATTTAAACTAATATATCTAAGTGGAGGAGAGAGTCTAGTGAACAGATGTAAGAACCCTCTATTGATCTGTTAGTGCCATATCATCTAATAGCTATTGAAAGAAATCCCCCTCCAAGTCCTATAACTCTCTTGAAATACATGATTGATTCCTTTTAGGCCTTAATCCTCAGCTTAAAAATACAGTTCATTATATTCTTAGTTCTCTACTTAACATATATGAATTCTGTGTGTTTTTTTTTCCTAGTCAAGTTTCAAAGAGACATTCATGTGTGAATTTTTCAAAATGTTTCAAGAAGAACGATATATCATAGCAGTTAAAAAGGTATGATTGTTTTACTCTGGGAATAGTAACATTTCTTATCATAATAGCATCAGGGAAATAGCATTTCATATTATTCCTAGAAGTTAACCCTCAGTTTAAAAAAATAATGTTTAACTTGTACATCAAATGTAGAAAAGCTATCTTTTTCTTCCTTTCTTCTCCCGTAAAAAACTATGGGATTTTTAGCTATGGAAATACCTAAATGTTTAACAACAGCTGCTATTGCCAGTGTCTTAGTAACACAAATTACAAATAGCTAGATATAGTGTTTCTTACCAGCAGCACTATCAACAATTGGGTCAGATAATTCTTGATTATGAGGGGCTGTCTTGTGCCTCTGTAGGCTGTTTAGCAGTATCCTTGGCCTGTACCGATTAGACGCTGGTAGGATGCTTTTAGATTTGACAGTCAAAAATGTCTGTAAACATTGCCAAAGTTCTGTGAAGGACAAAATTGCTTCTGATTGAGAACCTCTGATCTAGGGATAAAGGCTTAGTATGATGCTTGATGTATAATAAATAAATACATGAATTATCAACCATTTTATAAAATATAGTAGGCTTATGGTAGTAAGTTAAGGCAAGTTACTGTAAATTAAAATGTACAGAAGACTACAGTATTTAATATCCTAACGTGAGGTTTATAACATACAAAAATTGCTGTACTTAGAAACTGAGAATGTTTTGAAAGGATCTGTAATTCCTTGAGTCTTTTTTTTTTTTTTAAAGCTTATTGATTTATTTTGGTGGGTGGGCAGAGAGAGAGGGAGAGAGAGAATCCCAAGCAGGCTTTGCACTGTCAACACAGAGCCCAACATGGGGCTTGATCTCACAAACCGTGAGATTATGACCTGAGTCAAAATTGAGTCAGATGCTTAACGAACTGAGCCACCCAGGCACCCAGATTTCTTGAGTCTTGAGTTCTAAATCATTCTAAATTTTTTTTTTTCAACATTTATTTATTTTTGGGACAGAGAGAGACAGAGCATGAACGGGGGAGGGTCAGAGAGAGAGGGAGACACAGAATCGGAAACAGGCTCCAGGCTCTGAGCCATCAGCCCAGAGCCTGACGCGGGGCTTGAACTCCCGGACCGCGAGATCGTGACCTGGCTGAAGTCGGGACGCTTAACCGACTGCGCCACCCAGGCGCCCCTAAATCATTCTAAATAAAATGTAGTGTTATTGTAAAACCCTAAAATTTGTAAAGTTATTTTGAAGTAATCTAAACTTGGCTTGAAGGAAGTACTGTATTTTATTTATCACAATTTTGATTTAATGAATCAAAATTAGGCCAAATTTTAAAGATGTCACTCAATTTCTATAGCATGATTGATTCACAGTTGACTGCCAGGAGTATATTTTGATGAAGTGTATGTTTGCACTTTTTTGTGTGTGTGCTTAGAATTCTTATAGGGAGTCAGTAGATGAAAATGATGATTTTTTAAAAAATAAAACCAGTTGGAATTTTTCATCTAGAATTGTGCAAGTTCAATCAAAGTCTTTTTAAGCAATCACTGAAGGCTTTTGAGGAGAAAGCCTTTCAAAAGAATAGGTAGAGGAAAAACTGCCCTTTTATTTGTAGGACATTGTTGAAACATCTGTGGGACAGCGTAGGCAGACTTTTGTTGGCAAGATTATGATATACTGTCTTTTGTTTTAGGGTTGTTTTCCCATTTTTTTGACCTAGGTTATGGTAGCAGCTGATTTTTTTTTTTCCCTGATAAAATCAGAATGTGTAGAGTTGATAATGTCAGTGGAGAAAGTAGTTAAGGGTCCCAGGAGTTTAGCCTGTTCCTGATCTGTCTGTCCTGTGTCACCCACTCACATTCTCCTGGACTATCACCATAATACATTTCCTATGTCAGATTTGGTTCTAGACTCCTAAACCAGCATAGGATATTTTGCCCTAATCTAAGTTTTCTTTATTATTTACTTACTAAGTTTGGATATATGCATTGCTAGAAATTGTAGAAGCCTCTGAAGCCCAGTTTCTCATTTTGTATTGGTGTACTATTCCCACAGAGTTTAGCAAGGGTAACCTGGATAGTTCTATAAACAGAGTGACCATATAATTTAGTGTGCAAACCTCGACACTTTAAAGAGTGAAAATGAACACTGTGGATAATGTTGGGATCACAGCTGTAGACAGGGATGGCCCTGAGCAAATACCTATATTCACCCTGCCTGTAGTCCATCTTAATTATTGTGTTTTCTTTCACTTGATATAATTGTATTTACCTCATAGCTCCGTATAAATATAACAAATACTAGATGTAATAATTGTCATAAGTAAATAAGTATTTTTCAAGTAAATAGATCAGTGCCTTCAGGCAAATACTGAGAAATGAAATATTTAAGTAAGTCTGTGACCCTCCGTTAGTGAACAGTCCCTCTTTGAGAACTGGAGATAGGACAGGACACTTCTTTAGTTCCCTTGTGTACTTGTTCTGTATCACCACATATAATGCAAAAGAAACTGTTCTTGTTCCTTTACTTACCAAGATTTCCTTCTTACATGCTAGAAGTAAACATTAGAAAAAATTGTAAGTGTGGCTTCTGGTGGGCAGTCTATAGCCAGTCTTAAGAAAATATGACTGCCCACAATTCTACTTTAGATTAGGCATTTGTACCTCAGTGTTATCCCTATTGGAATGTAAGTTTTGTTTTGTTTTGTTTTGTTTTTTTGTCCCACATGAGACAACGTAGAAAAATATAAAGGAAAAAGCAAGGACTAAACAAGTAGGTAGTTCATTTATGGGGCAAGATAGGATTCCTCTCTAAGAACAAGGATTGTTCCTTGAAATACTAATTTCTTTTTTCCATGAAGAGACAGCTGCATGCCAGGAAGCTCTTGACCAGTCAGGGTAGCATATTCATGAAGCTAACTGCTCTTCACAGGGGTGGCCTGCCATTGCTAGAGATGGGTACTCCAATGTTCTTGAGCCACCATATTCTCACATTCCCCCTAGGAAGTTTATAAATGGAGATTAGATTTCCAGGTTATTCCAGAGAACCCAGTTACACTTCAGTCATAATTATGGAGTACTATCTCTCCAGGCTAAAGTCAGTTATATGTAATAGAAGTTAGCAAAGTCTTTTCTATAAAAGAGTAAATATTCTTCTCTGCTTTTATTTTTGTTTTTGTTTTTCCAGCCCTTTAAAAATATAAAAACTGTTCTTAACTCATAGGCCTTACAAAAATAGGCTGCAGGTTGAATGTGGCCCACTGAACCATAATTTGGTTATCCCTGACTTAAAATATAGGTTCACGATCCTATATCTAAAATCTTTGGGACCAGAAATATTTCAGAATTTTAAAAGATAGTAAGTATATACTGTGTATTATATTACACCCTAGTGTGGCCCGGGGTAGCACCCCATAATCAAACATACTATATAGTACAGTGTGTGAATATTCACACTAAGTAGGATAAATACAGACTATTAATAGCCTTTGCTAGTTCAAGTTAAGTTGTACCCTCAAATGAGTTTTCTGTAAATCAAAAACAAAACAAAAACAACTCTTTTTATTCACAGCTTTATAGATTTCAGAGTCATAGTTTAGGGATCGTAGATTGAGCTATTTTTACAGAGAAATGTATTCTGGGTTTTAAGTAACTTGAGAATAAACTTTTTAAAATACGTAGCCAATGTGTAACTTAGGATTTCCTGTACAATTAAATATGTGTTTTGTTTTAGAAGTTACAATTATATGTATTCCTCAGTAAAGAACTTTACAATATTATTAGTGATATTTAAGACAACTGAATTTTTGATGTATGTTATCACAAAGTATAATTTTTGCCCATTTCCCTGTTTAGTTCTTGGATGAAATTTCATCAACTGAAACTAAAGAGTCCAGTGGTACGAGTGAGCCTGTGCACCTGAAAGAAGGGTAATTTAATGAATTTAGAGATTAAAGTCATGTGTCAGTATAGACGTTACGTAAGTACAAAAAGCAGGAGTCTGGAAGTGAGGAAATCCGGGTTTTGTTCCATCTTAGAACTGCCTAAGTAACATCCATCAGGTAAGTTACAGTAGCATATGAACCTCATGCCAAATGGGCATGATTCCTTGTTCATACATTCCTCGAGTAGTTTTTCAAATAGAATGAAATTACAGGTATTAGAGTAGTACTTTGAAAACTTCAGTCTTGAAGTAGTGTTATCATCAGAAGTTAAAGGGAAACTTCAGGTAAGTTTGGCCCTTTTAGGTCTGAATAGCACAGTTATAAATATTAAATTAGTTAAAAACTTTATTCCCTTAGCATGGCCAAAATAAATGCAAAAGTTATGGATGACAAAGACATTTTTGTATATGTAATACAATCTTACTCAGCCTTTCATGTCATTTAAAATCAAAGAACAGGGGCGCCTGGGTGGCGCAGTCGGTTAAGCGCCCGACTTCAGCCAGGTCACGATCTCGCGGTCCGTGAGTTCGAGCCCCGCGTCAGGCTCTGGGCTGATGGCTCAGAGCCTGGAGCCTGTTTCCGATTCTGTGTCTCCCTCTCTCTCTGACCCTCCCCCGTTCATGCTCTGTCTCTCTCTGTCCCAAAAATAAATAAATGTTGAAAAAAAAAAAATTAAAAAAAAAAATAAAATCAAAGAACAATTCTTTGTTTTGGATGAACTACTTTAATATTTGTAGCTAAATTTTTACATCTGTTGTTTTGGCAGTGAGATGTATAAAAGAGCTCAGGGAAGAACTCGGATTGGGAAAAAGAATTTCAAGAAACGGTGGTTCTGCTTAACAAGCAGAGAGCTCACCTACCACAAACAGCCAGGTAGTTGTGTTTATGCTTTATTGTGGGGTCTTTTCCTGGTCCTCGGTGAAGATTTCTTTTTTGCTTAATGTAACTCCAGTGAACCTTTTCACTTTATTACTGTAGTTGATAGTTTCTTGCAGTGGTGCACACACACTAACGATATAGTAAATATTTGACAAATGACACCATGTAAATTCCATTTTTTTCCTCACATATGCTCTGTTGTCTAAAAAAAAAAAAATCCCTGGTAAATCCCAGGATTCATCTAGAACTTGGAAATTTCTTTAACTCTCAGAGCCAAATTGGTAAGAATCAATACTTAATAAATGAGAGTATTTTAGTGGTTTGCTGGATAACATCAGCCAGAGTTTTTCCACAGTCACACCACAGATTGTGATTCCTGTACAGTTACCACATTCATTCTAGTCTTTTGGCCAAGCTAACTTCAAAATGGAACTTTTAGTGACTGACTTCCTGAGAAAGCACAAATGGGCTATTTGGATAAAGAAATCCATCTCTGAGGGATTCAGAGAAGCAAAGTTTGTCCTTCAGTGGACTGACACAGTGCTTAAAACCTCCACCTTTTAAGTTCATTCCCTTGGAGTCAAACATGATCCACAGAAGGCCATTAGCTCCTGCTGGTATCATAGCAAGAAGAACTTAATATCTAAATCATGGACCATATTCCATAAACCCATTTATTCAAGGTGATCAGGATACAAAGAAATTTACTTAACCAAAAAGGCCAGTTAAAGGAAGAATCATTTTAAAACAGACAAAAATGTGCATACATATCTTAAATATTTACATATTTGTTTGCCAGATCTTCTGGTAGAGAACCAAGATCTTTTCTTTGAATATGGATCTATAGATTGGATTTCCCTTTGTCTTTATTTTGCAAATATACCTATAATGTATCAGTTTTCTGGTTGATTTCTCCAAAGTTTTTCCAAATTTAAATACTTGAAAAGGAATCCAAGTACAGAATTTTATTAGATTTCATGATAGTCACCCCTAATCTTTTACAGGTGTCTCACCCCCATGTAAATCAGCTTTGCTTATACAGGTGTGGGCCTCCTTTTTTGGTGTTTTTCAAAGCACTCACCTGATTTTCAAATAAACAATAAACCTCTTAGTAAGGGGCACTTATTTTGTCACTTTACATATATTTAAGTAAATTATAATTAGAACATGGAAAAATGGCTTAAACAGGTTTGAAAACAAACCCAACAGGGTTGGCAAACAAAACAGCCTAACCAGTGGAAACATAGAGTACAGGCTTAATAGATAGTAACCTAGCAACCACAAGCATTCAGCATCCCATGAGCATCATTCGTTAATGTTTCACAAGGACTTGGAGAGTCTCTGTTAATCCATTAGCTCTGTTAGGTAAAGATCTGTTCAGAGAGCTTCCGCTATAAATTCTGAAATGGTAAAACAAACAACAGCCATAGGATACTTTCAAGAGAATGTAGATTCAGTTAAGTAGAATGGTTCTGTGGAGATTCTTAAAGAGTAAAGTGATAAGAAAACTTGTTTCATGATTCCTTATTATGGCTCAACCAGAATGACTACATAAGACTAATTGTATTAGTAAGGTAGAAGAAACCAAAGGCATTTTTATTTGTCACCCACATAATTTGTTATGGCATATCAATAGTCAGTCATAATTTGTTATGGCATAAAGAGCAACACGTTACATCCTTAGCCTTGCAGACCATTTTTTAAGCTAAATATGTTTTGAATGTTTTAGAAGTTACAGCTTATGTTGAATACTAAGTAAATGTTCTCACGTACATAGCAGCTTTGTAAAAAATACCTGTCATAATAAGCTAATTATGTTAGTACGTTGAAATAAAATTTAAGGTAAGTTAGTTGTTCTCCATGAATAAATTAGCTATTTTTTCCTCATTTAAAGTATTTTCTAATCTAAACTAGTATTCTAAAGTCTTTTTTGGGTTTAGCCCTTTAAGAATCCAGTGATTCTTTCCTCCAGAAAAATACACATACAAACTGGACATAGAATTTTGCATATAATTTCAATGAGTCTGTAGATCCAGAGTTCATCTACGGTTCTTAAGAACCTCTGCTCTAACTAGTGATCCTATGAGGACAAAATTCTATAGAATGATCAGGCTGCCGTAGGTATAAAATAGACACATAGAAATTACATTGTTTTCAGGCCCTAAGAAATTTAACCTATTGGAATGACTTTGGAGGAATAAGCTCTCTTACATAAAGTTTAAAGATTATTTACCAAAGCGTACAGTTTTAAGCATCCATGCTTTTTGTTTTAACTATTTTGATGGATTTTTCCAAAATGTATTACATGCTTCCCTGCCTTCTAAAAAAGAATTCATTGAACGTAAGTGAACATTTTCTAGATGAGTTGCGGCTGCCATTGATAATATTAATTATTATGTAGTGCTTTGATTTAGTGATGTTTTCAGGGCCGCTTATGAGTGTGTGCAGCTGTTTACTCCCCAGCTAAAATGGCTTGGACTGCTGTGCTTTTTTGTGTTCCTGTGTTTGCTTTATATGGTTTTTCTCTATCCCTTTTATATTTAGGCTGTTACCTTAAATCTCTTGTGCTGTCAGTGAACCATAACGTAACATCACACTCCCACCTCCATCACTCAGCTCCATTTTTTACTACACATATACTTTGAGAAAACAGGTACTGTGTTTGTTAAAATTATGCTTAAAATTAAAAGGCTTTGATGGAAGACTTCAGGACTTTGCTCTCTGAAGAAAATGCATGGGCTTTGGATTTCTCTGGTTGTTCAGCAAATGTTTTGCTTACCTTTCTATTTCTTTGCTGTTTCTGGATAGCCAAGACTGCTAGTTCTACTTGTTATATGACTTTAGTGTGTGAAAGAATGCCTCCCAAATTTTCTGTAATATGGACACTAGTATTCTGAATCAAATATTTCTGCCACTTAGAATCAAACAGTAGTCTTTTCCCAATTTACTGGAAAAGGAATGAATAGAATTTTCTCAATTTTAAGGGTTTTTCCTAAGTAAGTTACTAAGTTTTTGATGCCTGTTTACATAAATGCTAACAAGAGATAGTATACAACTTATCTTCATTACAACTAGATTAATGAGACTGTATGACACTCAGCAATCAGTCATGATTATATTGACAGTTTTTTATGCACGTGTGCTTGTGATCTGGTTTTATATGCTATATTGCAGTATAGTCATCTTCTATAAGTAGAAGTTTTTCTAGCTGTATACTGAAATCAAATGAGTTCTTGACCTTCCGGTCTCTTCCTTTTTCATCCAGCCATTGAACTGCGCTTCACCAGACTGGCTGCTGCAGTTGCTTTAACTTGTGCTCTTTTACCTTCGTGCTTTTGCATGTGCTCTTCCTAGAAGTTCCCATCTTTCCTTCTTTACCTGTGTGATTTGTTGTCTTTTAAGCCTCAGATCCAGTATGTGCTCTTTATGGAAGTCATTTATAAGCTTCTAGGCACTTCAGTTGAGCTTTTCCCTTATTGTGCTTTTTTAATCACCTTAGGAGTAACACCTGTCACACTGTGTGGTCCTTACTTTTGTCTGTCTCTTCCTCTAGTCTTTAAGAGCCTCTGTCGGGGGACCACATTTTTACTACCTTCATTAATACATGGAGTAAACGTTTTTAATAAATGGTGTTCTTCGAAGAATGCCATGTCTTACCATCTGAATTACATTAAGAACCACTGCTCTTGGTTTCTAAATTTCCACCAAGAATACTAATAATAGATTATTAGCAAATTCATCTCTGAAATTCCATCTTGTGTTCTCCAAACTTGATTAGATATTGTCCACTCTTGGAGACCTGATATACACAGATACATACAGCCTACACAACTTCCATGTGATATCAAATGTTCCAGTTCATATATCATCTATCTAGATGGTGGTTTTTTTTTTTTTAATGTGTATTTATTTTTGAGAGAGTGAGTGGGGGAGGTGCAGAAAGAGAGGGAGGCAGAGAATTCAAAGCAGGGTTCGTTCTAACAGCAGAGAGCCTGATGCAGGGCTCAAACTCACGAACCACAAGATCATGACCTGAGCCAAAGTCAGACGCTTAACCAACTGAACCACCCAGGCGCCCATACGTGGTGTTTTAAACATAAATCTCAATAATACATTTAGGTTGACTTGGTTTTCACCTGTTCATATTTTTACACTCAGGGTTCTGCAGTATTTTTTCTTTGATAGCTAATGAACACTTCATTGTTGCAGTCATACATTCATTCAATAAATATTTTATTGAGTGCCTACTGTGTGCCAGATCCTTGGCTCTGGAGAAAACAGTAGTGAATAAAGATACCATAATGTTTGCCCTTATGGATTTTCATAGCTTAAAAGTGATAAATAAAAAAAAATGTATTGGATGATTATAAATGAGATAGACAAAAATAAAGCAGGTAAAGAGAATAGAGGATGATAGGCTTATGAGGAGAGTTGCAGTATTAAAAAGTCTAGCCAGTGAGGGCTTCGCTAAGAAAATGACATTTTGAGCAAAGACCTAAAGATGATAAGAGAGTAAGTCAGGTGGAAATCTGGGTTAATAGTGATGTGTAGTTAACAGCAGCCAGTACAGAGGCCCTGAAACAGGAGCATGCCTAGAGTATTCAAGAGATAAGAGAAAGCTCTTTCTGGTTAGTGGGGAAAGAAAACATAAAGGGGTAATCATAGGAACTTAGAACAAAGAGGTCATGGAGAAGCTAGATATGTTAGGGCTTTGTGAGCCATTCTAAAACTTTTACTCTGATTCAAAGATGGAAAGGCATTAGAGAGCTTTAAGGAGAGGAATTACATTATTAGACTTATGTTTTAATAGGAGTAATCATTATGCCATATGGAGAACAGAATGAAAGGGGAAGGAGACCAGTTAAGAGGCTAGGGGGCAACTCAGTGGCTCAGTCAGTTAAGCATCCAACTCTTGATTTTGGCTCAGGTCATGATCTCATGCTTCGTTATATCATGTCCCATGTCAGGCTCTGTGCTGACAGTGCGGAGCCTGC